CTGAGAATCGCTTGGCTACATGACTATTACCCTGAGAAGCACTTGACTACATGACTCTTACCCTGAGAATCGCTTGGCTACATGACTATTACCCTGAGAAACGCTTGACTACAACCATTACCCTGAGAATCGCTTGGCAACATGACTCTTACCCTGAGAATCGCTTGGCTACATGACTATTACCCTGAGAAGCACTTGACTACATGACTATTACCCTGAGAATCGCTTGGCTACATGACTATAACCCTCAGAATCGCTTGACTACAAGACTATTTCCCTGAGAATCGCTTGACTACAACCATTACCCTGAGAATCGCTTGGCAACATGACTATTACCCTGAGAATCGCTTGGCTACATGACTATTACCCTGAGAAGCACTTGACTACATGACTATTACCCTGAGAATCGCTTGGCTACATGACTATAACCCTGAGAATCGCTTGGCTACATGACTATTACCCTGAGAATCGCTTGACTACATGACTATAACCCTGAGAATCGCTTGACTACATGACTATAACCCTGAGAAGCGCTTGACTACATGACTATTACCCTGAGAATCACTTGACTACATGACTATTGCTCTGAGAATCGCTTGGCTACATGACTATAACCCTGAGAATCGCTTGGCTATATGACTATTATCCTGAGAAGCGCTTGGCTACATGACTATTACTCTGAGAATCACTTGACTACATGACTATTACTCTGAGAATCGCATGGCTACAAGACTATTACCCTGAAAAGCACTTGGCTACATGACTATTACCCTGAGAAGCACTTGGCTACATGGCTATTTCCCTGAGAATCGCTTGGCTATGTGACTATTACACTGAGAATCGCTTGACTACATGACTATTTCCCTGAGAATCGCGATATTCTGACCTAACACCACTGGACTTTAGGCTGTAAAGGACTCGTCTTTTGTACAGTGTAAACCCCACATCCAGGTACATTTGCCAACTTTGAGGATCGTGCTAAAGAAATAAATGATACAATTTCAGAATATGTAATTGTCAAGGCGTTTAGAAAATGGCGAAATGTACTGAGGTCAACAGAGGTCATTAGAAGTAGTATAAAATTTGTATGTTTAGCTGAAAGTTTTATAAATCGTTTTATTTTCCTGAATAGATATTATTAAAACTGAAGTTTTTATATTTGGACGTTAAATTCGGAAATATATATTTTAAGTAAGTGTACGTTAAATACAAAAGTTAAATACAATTTTATTATGATATGGTTGTTGTTTTCATAGATGATTACTTTGTGCGATTTACATAAAGCAAATAGACATATACAGACAGATAGATAGATAAATTGGTAGGTTCCATCAGTTATTAAACAGGTATCTCATGAAATTTGGTTTCGTAGACGTAAGAGAAATCATTGTCAAATTATAGTCTTAAGTTCTATTAAAATATTTAAAATTGTTATAACTATATTTCCTACAAAGAAAAATTCTGAACCATGTATTTTATTATAACTACACAAAGCAATTGAAGGTTGTAATACTATACCTGTGGTAAGGAAAATCAATGTAATATAATAATGCCAATTAGCCCGCTCAGTTCAATGTTATGGAAATCAGGCATCAGATGATCAGTCACGTAATATGAAATTCAAATGATTGATTATTCAGCAAGTACCAGATAAAACAGCTTCACGTAATCTTTAATCAGTTAACTTTGAAGTGAATCACGGAGTTCAACGCACCTCAGATTGTTTATAATGGTTAGATAGGCTTCAAAGAAGACATTTATAACTTTATTTCATGTCAAGAGCCATCGGATTATAAAAGCTGGCCACCTACGGGGAAAATTATGAAGTGATTACAGCTGTCTTAAAGTGGAGTAGGCAGAATGAACTGTTTTCAAGCGATGGTGAAGTCACTCCGACATCTGGGCTAGGTAACCACTATCAACAACAAAAGTAGATAACTGCTGTCTGTCGATTAGGGTTTTCAGTCACGAGTTACCTGTTCCGAGACCAAGTCAGATATTCGCAGCCTCAGCTGGACAGCTCGCATGTAATAGTACCTTGAATACATCCAGTAGACTCATGAAATATAAATGATTGGTACTTGTGTATTATCTAAAATTTAATGAATAATTAAAAGAACGTTTTATATTTACACAATTTTTAAAACTGTCAACGGCTTCCACTTTAAAAGTACACTCTACTTGTACAATGTTTCTACGTCCTCTACGTCGTCTTCAGGAGTTATCTGCAAGACACACTAATTCATACATTTTTTTCCTGTCACGTGATATTATTTACATAATTTCTTAGTCAACCATTATATTACATCACCCCAAATAGCAATGCTTTGACTTGATGACCCTTCACCTCTGTTTAATATTTTATTTTATTAGTTCTATGCTTCTCTGACATTTAAAGCTGTAATATTACAAGATTGAACAAAAATTAAAGTTTTTTGTTTCTATAAAATTTTGTGTTGTGTTGTTTTTATCTGTTCTGCTTTGGCAACGTTTTCTATTTTATTATTTCTTACGTAACCTTTATATTCTTGTAATCTGTATTTTAAATTTCATTTAGTTTGACCAATATAAATACTCCCAGATTCACATTCTATTTTGTAAATCCCAGTGTTATCTTAAATGCCATTTTATCTTTAGTATTCCACAACATTTGTTTAGTCATATCTATACTTGTAAGTTAGTGTGTCTTGCAGATAACTCCTGAAGACGACGTTGAGATCGTCGAAACGTTGTACATGTACAGTGTAAAGTGGGAGCCGTTGACAGATTCAATAAAGTTTTTAAAATTGTGTAAATATGAAACGTTGGTTTTAATTATTTATTAAATTTTAGTCCAACGAAATCTGTGCCACATTAAAAGTATAGTCTGTTTTAAACATTTAAATCATTCAAAATTAACTTTATTTTCTTTTTTTTTACATTTTAGGTTGGACCAGCACCGAACAATAGACGAATATGGGAGAAAGCCAACCTTACCGTACTAGGTAGATTTTAGTTTAGTATTTGCTTAAAAATGATATTTTATATACAGCAACGTCTTTTTATAATAATTAATATTCAATTTCCATGTGAAATATACATTTATGTATACAAAACCAAAAATACAGGAAAATAATACCAACTGAAATATTTAATTTTTGCCATGTTTTAAAATATGTCTGAATTATACGAACTATAATAAAGATATATGTCAACCCTCAAATTAACAACGTTTTTATATCTTTAACTGCTGACGAAATATACAGATTGCTTAATATTAAGTAATTTACCTGTTACACTGCTCAATGTATAGAAACGCCCAAAAATTTAATGAAGTCTCTCATTTTCTTTATTAAAACATAGGAGCCTTCAGGACTAATTAAATTGGATTAGCTGCAATATGTTATTTTTATTTACACTGTGAGTATATGTCATATGTTATTAGGGACCTTGTGTCATGGATCCAGAAGCAACTTGGCCTGGCATGGCCGGGTGGTTAGGGCGCTCGACTCGCAATCCGAGGGTCGTGGGTTCGAATCCCCGTCACACCAAACATGCTCGCCCTTTCACCCGTGGGAACGTTATAATGTGACGGTCAATTCGTTGGTAAAAGAGTAGCCCAAGAGTTGGCGGTGGGTGGTGATGACTAGCTGCCTTCTCTCTAGTCTTACACTGCTAAATTAGGGACGGCTAACGCAGACAGCCCTCGTGTAGCTTTGCGCGAAATTAAAAAAAGCAAACAAACCAGAAGCAACTTACTGCATAAATTGTTTAGAAAAACGCGCTTAAAAAGCCAATGACACATTGACAATTCTAGTGTTTAAAATACTTACCAAGGTGTTTGAATAACCACACCTAAAGTGCGTGTTTCAGCCAGCGTTCTTATCAATGACATGGCGAGCAATCCATACTAAAGAGATGTGGTGGCATGACCTAGCTGTTAGTGTGATTGGACTGTAAATTCAAAGAGTCACGGTTCGCTTCCCGTGGCCACAGAAACACAATCCACACTTGTGGGGCTGTGGGTGCGCTTTAAGAGCGATGATTAAATCTCGCTATTCGAGCAAACAAGTGTGGTCCATGGATGCTGTTACTTAGCTGCCCTCTCTATACTCAATCAGCTCAAAATTCGAAACGGTTATGTATTGTATATCTTTGCCTGAAATTTTGAAACACAAACAAACTGAAAAAGGTACTTTTAAAAACCGTTAAAGTTGTGTAGTTTGTTCGATCTTCGTTCATACTTTTATTGCGTGAAAGGCACAATGAAATATTAACTCAGAGGGTGGGGGCCCCCTCCCCCAATGGCTCAACGGTGAGGTTGAAAGCTGATGACGCTAAACTTGGGGCTTTGAAAATCCATGTTCTATATAAGTTTATTAAATATGAAATCTAGGCATTGTTTTATGTACTTTCTTGCAATACTTACTTATAATCCGTTTCATTTCTTGAAACTACAATATTTTTTGTCTCATCGCGTGTTTCTTGTGTAAACATAAAAAAGTCATCATTTCTAATATCCTAAAGGAATATGTTATTTTTTTACGAAGAAATGAAAGATCTCCTTTACGTTTTCATTTCTTATGTAAATATATATTTACATTGACTTTTTTTTTCTCTACATTGTATAGTACCACCAGAGAAAGTGGAAATACAACATCGTTCAAACGCTAGTATCCTAGAGGTACGAGAGGCGGAGCGTGTTCCGCTGACTTGTTTCGCACGAATGAGCAAGCCTCAATCGCAGTTGAAATGGTATAAAAACGGAAATGAATTGAAAGGTAATACAAAATAGAATGTTTAAGCTTATATTTATATATATTCCGTAATGATGTTATCTTTACTAACATCCATTTACACTTACTCTGTAATGATGTCATTTTTACTAACATCCATTTACACTTACTCTGTAATGATGTCATTTTTACTAACATCCATTTATACTTACTCTGTAATGATGTTATCTTTACTAACATCCATTTACACTTACTCTGTAATGATGTTATCTTTACTTTGAAATACTTATCTAAATTTATGATGCATATAAAAACACGTGGCATCAAAATTGAGATGAATCACGAAACCTGATAACCCAAGTGCTTTCGGAAAGTAAACATTCCTTCTTCAGGAGCTGATTGGCTATCTAAGTAAACCATTACTGCTCTTCTCGAAGTTGGTTCTAACCTTCCTTTTTCAGGAGATGATTTATTATCTAAGTAAACCATTATTGCCATTCAAGAGGTTGGTTCTAACCTTCCCTCTTCAGGAGCTGATTGGCTATTTAAGTAAACCATTATTGCCATTCTAGAGGTTTGTTCTAACCTTCCTTCTTCAGGAGCTGATTGGCTATTTAAGTAAACCATTACTGCCCTTCTCGAGTTGGTTCTAACCTTCCTTCTTCAGGAGCTGATTGGTTATCTAAGTAAACCATTATTGCCCTTTTCGAGGTTGGTTCTACTCAGGTGGAGGAAATGTATAAGGATATCCAAAATTTGAAAAAATAAAACCAGTGAAACTCATGGTATGGGGCTATGGAAAAAGGAACTGTATCCTTCATTTCAATAACAGATTCACTTAGATATTTTCCAGATCATCCAGCTATTAAATATATATTTTATCAGTAAATGAATATTGTATTGTTTTGCTTATATACTATTAGTTACATTGTTCTGACAAAGACATCACAATGATTAAGCTCTCGACCTCATTTTGTTTTATGTCTTATTGCACTTTATTAAAGCAGTAAAACTATAGGATAATTTGTCAATAACAATAACTACACGACACATAAAGTAAGAAATCAAACAGAGAAGATGCTGCTAATATCTTTCTACGTATATATCGTATATTTTATTACCGTCTTCTTTCAATTAGATAACGTGATGGTGAAGACTAGAGAGTTCCAAAATGGCCTCATCACAGTTTCTAGTACAACAACGCTCTATCCAAAACTAGATGACAATAATGTCACCTATACGTGCAAGGCTACTCATGCTGGATTAAAACGTCCCAAGTTTTCATCTGTAACAGTTATAGTGCTTTGTAAGTCTTGAAGTTTTCAATCCATCTGGATTTTTAATTACAAACTTACAGAAAAGTTTCAACAATGATTCTTATTGTTGAGTCTATCGTCACTAACATTTAAAATATTGAGTTTAATACCGAACAATACCGCCAGTCATA